GTGGCCAGCATGACTGCATGGAGCGCCATTATCTTCCTGCAGAAGCAGTACCTATTGATCTACTCATATTTGCATGTTTTCAAACTGCTAGGTTGGCACAGGGTGGGACTACCAGCGGGAGCTCACCCCACTCCCCAGATTCGAATACTAATCATAATATTGCTCTTTGCAAGCACACTGCCTTCTGATCCCAATGGTTCCTGTTCATTTTGGTCCCAGGTGGATTTCTCGTTCTGGACCCGGAAACCTGGGAAGTGAAAGGGACCTGGGAGTGTCCGGAAGATGGACCCATCCAGATGTTTGACTTCTGGTACCAGCCACGGCACAATGTCCTGATCAGCTCCGAAGTGGGAGAGCCCAAGTTCTTTGTCAATGGGTTCAACACGAACAATCTGAGAAAAGGTGAGAACGTCCATGGGAGGGGCATCTAGGAGTTCTAGTAGACCACAAGCTGAACACGTGCCAAGAGTGTTATATGGCAGCGCAAACAACCAATGAGATTCCAAACTCCATCAACAGGAGGATGGTGCCAAAATCAAGGAAGGCCATAGTCCTACTTGACCCTCACTTGGAATAATCCTGGTTCCTGTTCATCCACAGGGCGCTATGGTAGTCACCTCAACGTCTGGGACTTGAGCACCCACCGCCTCCTTCAGTCAATCAATGTGGGTGAAGATTCAGCTCCGATGGAGATCCGCTTCTTGCACAACCCCAACTCGACCCACGGTTATGTGGTCTGCCCTCTAGAGAGCTCCATCCACCATTTCTTCAAGACAGAGGTGAAAAGGGGAAAGGGTGGCTGCGAGACAAATCCAATGCTTCTGGAGAGCTAGGGTGGTTTAATGGTTAGGTCAGATCCCTATTACGATATGGGAATCTACTCTCTATCTCTCTCAGTTTTGGGGTAAGCCAAAGGCAAACTTGAAGAAAAAACATGGAGAGGACCACCTCACCCGTCAATTTGATTTTCCATGTAGGATGGATGCTGGGCAGCTGAGAAAGTGATCCAAATCCCAAACAAGAAAGTATCAGGATGGATCTACCCTGAAATGCCAGGTTAGTAAAAAGAAAACAGCAAACAACACAACAACAGCTTTATTCTTGTATCCTGCCACCATCTCCCTGACGGGACTCAGGGAGGCTTAGGTGCCTAATAAAAGTTACTCCACACTGACATTTTCCCCATCCACATTAAAAACCAGGTTCAGGGTGTGTCCAGCTACATGAGTGGGCCAGCTATCACTTGGGACAGTCCCATGGTTGTCATGGCAGCCATGAAGACCTGAGCCGCCCTTCATAGGGTGGACTTGGCACAGACATTGAAGTCCCCCAGCACTATTAGCTGCTGGGACTGCAACGCCAGGCCTGAGACCACCCCCACTAGCTCAGGTAGGGAGTCTGTTGTGCAGTGGGGTGGATGGTACACAAGCAAAATCCCCAATCTGTCCTGGTTACCCACTTTCAAATGGACACTAGATATGGGCAATCCATGTTTCTAAAGTACTTAGAAAACTAAAGTTCTGGTGGTGAAAACTAGGGGGTGCTAGTGCTTTGCTTCTACAGTGTTGGTAAAGTTCTGGTGGTGAAAATTTCATTATTTCATTGTTGGCGATTTTTATGACAGAACTAATTCGGAACTGCCATTTATAACAAAAATTATACAAAAAAAGGTTTTGTTAAAGTTCTGAAATTTTCACCACCAGAACTTTACCAACACTGTAGAAGCAAAGCACCAGCACCCCCTAGTTTTCACCACCAGAACTTTAGTTTTCAAAGTACTTTAGAACCATTTAGATCCATGGATTGCCCATGTCTAATGGACACATTTGAACCTAGGCAATTGCAGGACAGGGCACCTGATCTGAGATGAAATCATAATAGACCACCACAACCTCATCTTCCAGGCCTAGCCTGCTGATGCACCCCAAAACCCGGAGGACAGAGCTGGGTGAGGTTAACCCCCTCCCCCAGCTTATCCAGCCAATTCTGGGTAATGCAAGCCAGGTTCGCTTGTTCATCCAGGGACAAGTTTTGCCATTTGCAAACCTGGCACTGAACAGCAGGACCTTAAGCCTGGCATGTAGGCGATTTGGTCTATCTTGCCTCAGGGTCGCAAGAACTCTGTAGCACTTCTCCCTGGGATGGTATTTTTGACCATCTCTCCCCCTCCCCTGCATGACTTTAATGGTGGCTTCCCGGCCCCGGAAACCCCCTCTCCTCCCCAAGGGTGCTAACTTTTGGCTTTAAGGGGGTTGATATACCTTGGGGAGATAAGTCAATTTCCAACAGTTGTCGGGGGGGATGTCTTGGAGGAGCTTACTACAAATTGGTACTGTAGTTTAATCATTGTAAGTGCATATGCAGTATTGCATTGTAACTGCACAAGGGTTTTGAACTGGATGGCCATTGGAGACTCCAGTGATTTGATGATCTTCCAGGGTTCACTTACGGTATCATCATCTCCCTGGATGACCAGTTCCTCTACTGCAGCAACTGGCTGCATGGTGATGTCCGCCAGTACGATATCACAGACCCGCACTGTCCCAAACTAGTCGGGCAGGTAAGCTTGCAAGTTCCCTAATTAGATGTTTCCCAGTGATGGATCCCATCACTTCTGGCTGCTGGCTGGAGATGATGGAACTGGTGTCCCAGCCCAAGGACTTCAATTTCTTGAAGACTGTTGTTTTTCCTGCTCAACTGACCATGTCTCTTTGGGATCTTTAGGTGTTTCTTGGGGGCAGCCTTGTGAAAGCAGGTCCTGTAACTGTCCTTGAGGATCCAGAGCTGGACTGCCAACCTGATCCCTTTGTGATCCAGGTAAGGTCTGAAAAGGATGATGAACTGGACAGATAATTCAGAGACAGGTCAAAATGCAAAGAAATCCAACGTTCCAATTCTGAACTGAGAGAAAACTGGCCTTTCTGTGTTTTCTACTCCTTCTGACAGGGTTCCTTACCTTATTTACATGTTTCCTAATCCTGGGGCTATTTCTTTCCCGCTCTCTTTAGGGCAAGAAGGTCCAAGGAGGGCCTCAAAAACTTCAGCTGAGCTTGGACGGCCGCCGTCTCTATGTCACTAACTCTCTTTACACGCCTTGGGACAAGCAGTTTTATCCCAAGTTGGTCAAGTAAGTGTGGCCTTGGGGGAGTCACACTCTCTCCAACTCAGAGAAAGGCCTTTTGTGTAGACATCCAGCCTGGAAAACCTCATGATCAGGTGTTCATGTGTCTCCACAACCTTGACTTTCCCCCACATTATGCCTTTTGCAGGGAAGGCTCCACAATGGTCCAGCTGGACGTGGACACCAAGAAGGGCGGCCTTCGTGTGAACCCGGAATTTATGGTGGATTTCGGGCATGAACCATGCGGTCCGGCTCGGGCGAAAGAGATGCGCTACCCCGGTGGGGATTGCTCCTCCGACATCTGGGAGTAGCGTGCATCCATTCCAAGTTATCTTCATATCGGAAGGAGAATCAGTTACGAATTGGGATTCATCCAATACTTTTTTGTCCAATGCTTGCTGTTGTGACTCCTTGTTGTAAATGTCAACATGAGACATACAATAGTTGTTCTAGCATATATCGACTATTTTCTCTGGGTGTCCTTGGGACTGCTTGCTGTCTGCTTACTCCCTTCTCCAGCTCTGAAAGGCCCTAATTCACGTCATGGCAACCTCCTTTTTCCATTTTTATTTTCTGCTCCCATCCTCCTCTTTTCCTTCACTTCTTTTTCTCATGCTTACCTTCCAAGTCATCTTCAACATCTTGGTGTGCAAGGCCTTTTATAAGGAGATTCTCTCCTGAGGAGCATTTCTCAACCTGGGGGTTGGGACCCAGGGGGGGGGGTCGCGATGGGTTTTCAGAGAAGTTGCCAAAGACCATTAAAAAACACAGTATTTTCTGTTGGTCATGGGGATTCTGTGTGGGAACTTTGGCCCAATTCTATGGTTGGTGGGGTTCAGAATGGTCTTTGGTTGTAGGTGACCTATAAATCCCACCAACTACAACTCCCAAATGTCAAGATCTATTTTCCCCAAATGCCACCATATGTCCAAATTTGAACATATTGAGTATTCGTGCCAAGTTTGGTCCAGATCCATCATTGTTGGAGTTCACAGTGCTCCCTGGTTGTAGGTGAACTACAACTCCAAAACTCAAGGTCGATGCCCACCAGAACCTTCCAGTATTTTCTGTTGGTTTTGGGAGTTCTGTGTGCCATGTTTGGTTCAATTCTACCATTGATGGAGTTCAGAATCCTCTTTGATTATAGGTGAACTACAAATCCAAGGAACTACAACTCCCAAATGACAAAATGAACCCCACCAGTATTCAAATTTGGGCGTATCAGGTATTTGTGCCCAATTTGATCCAGTGAATGAAAATACATCCTGCATATCAGATAGTTATATTATGATTCATAACACTAGCAAAATTACAGTTGTAAAGTAGCAACGAAAATAATTTTATGATTGTGGGGTCACCACAACAAGAGGAATTGTATTAAGGGGTCATGACATTAGGAAATTTGAGAAACATTGCTCTAGAGGTTCTCAGTTCTAGCCACGAATATTACAAATAGGCTAATCCTGTCAACAAATAAAGTTGTTTGAATGATAATAAGACGTTTCTTTGAAAGCTGGGAGACCTAACACTTGGAAAGCCTCAGTGTTTTTAACTAAAGTTGGCTGAATAGAATAAAAATAATGCATACTACCATGCCTCAAAGGGAATGGGGTTTATCACCGAGGTGGGGTTTGTTGGAACATGCAAAGAATCAGTTAATGTGTGTGTGTCAACTGTAAAATAAGATGCATGAATCCAGTTGGTTGGGTAATACCCAGGGAGATGGCTGAGCCTGGGACTTTTGGATACTGTTACATTTTTGTTCAGGCTTGAGCTATGCACGTGCAGAGAGAGAAAAAAAGAGAAGCTAAGAGAGACAGAGTTTGGGGTGTCCTTTGGCTTCATGAGCTGCTGAAGGAGTTTACCCACATGGACAAAGAAAGACCATTTTAAATCTCTCATAAAAGGGCATTATGTGAATTCATGCAACTGAGCATATTGTACATATGTTGTTCTGAACTATGAAGAGTAAACTTCTTTATTGTTCACCTGCGTGGTATATTTTCTTTATCTTGCAAGATAGATCAAACATGAATATATCACCTGCGTGGATATTTTCTTTAGCTGGCAAGGCAGATCCAATGTGAATATATCACCTGCGTGGTATATTTTCTTTATCTGGCAAGGCAGAACAAATGTGTTTGTTTTACATTACACCACAACTGTTGTGGCTCAGCTTGATTCTGAGCCTGAAACTGAACCCTCTTGCGAGCCTGAAACGTTCCCTGATGAAGAGGATGATGGGATTCAGATTTCTGGGCCTGTTCCTATGCCTGTTTCTGTGCCTCTTTCAGACAGTGCACTTTCAGACAGTGCACCAGGGGAGTCAACAAGTCAGTTCTCATGGGAAAAGAATGCCAGCAAACTAGATAACGACCAGGTGCAGAGGCCTTCACTTGCTCAGCCTTCTCACGCTGATACTGATAGAGAAGAGAGCCTTGATAGTGATTTAATGAGCAGGCAGGAATGTTTAGATTGGTGGGTCAAGAGGAGTTCACGGTTAGCCAGCAAGAAAGAAGTCAGGTCAGTGAAAGGTCACCGTAATGCTTTCATGTTGGCAAAAGCGCAATGTTTTCATGTTGGTAAAAGGTATTTAGGCTTCTGGTTAACAAAGGGCAAGTGTCAGTTCAACGTGGCTTTTTGCATGAAAGCTTCTATGGAATAACCTTGGCTTTAAAGCAGCACACTTTGAGCTTCCTGAATTGGGATTCTTGTGTTTCACTGTTTTTACCATGGACTCTTGTTTGACCATTCCTTAAAGGATTATGTTTTATGTTTTTACCTGAGGATCTTTGGAACTGTGTTTTGCATTTAACCTTTGTCTTTGGAACTATGCATTGCTTATTCTATGCTTTGACTTTGATTTTTCCTCAATAAACTAAAAAATCTACAGCTCTTGTGTGGTGGTGTTTGGGTGCAAGGTGAAGCCTACTCTGAGTTGCAACAACACGGTTCTTGTCCGAAGCTTCAAGGAATGGAAATCCAAGGRAATGAACCGATCTCCCCAAAGATCTTCACCACCTTGGGTTGCTTGTTCAAAGTGACRTGTTTCAGGATCAGGGTGCTTTGGATGTGGGGAATGATGTAAATGAGGCTCACGATGGAAATGGTTTGGTCAGTGATATTGATGCAGAGAATGACAGAGAGACACCTGTTCAAAGTGTAGTTTCCCATGAGAATGTTCCTACAGGGCAAAGGGATGGTGGTTTACTCCCTGAATTGCTCCCAGAGAGCTCCCAGGATTTGGGGYTTGAAAACAACTCGGCACCTGCAGAGACTACTGAGCATATAGATAGGCGGGCGGAAATTATTCAAAACAGACAGGCCGAGCAATGCCTTCGGTGTTCTGCCAGGCTTCAACACAAAGGGCCGCTAAAGGAAAGCGAAAGCAGTTTCTGAGTGCTTGGAAAGGCTTAAAAGTTCCAAACATGGAAAATATTGCCAGATGAAGCATTGTTTAGAATCCGGCTAAGTTCTTGTCCTCGTCTCATAGAAGCCTTGCTTGGAAGATTTATGCTTAAAGATTTCTTGTTTCCTGTTTGGGTTTTTGTCTCTTGCAATTACCTGCTCATGGCTTGGATCAACGTTTCCTGGTTCTTTGGATTTTGTAGAGACTTGTGGACTTTGCTTTTGGACATTGCTGAACTCTGCCTTGGACTAATTTGTTCCTGCTTACCTTCTTACCTTCTGAATTTATCTATCCCTTTAAAGTGCCTTTTTACTTTGCTGCTTTTACTTATCTTCAATAAAAGGAGTGTTTTCCCTACTCAACGTGTGGTGTTTTAAAGTTAGAGAGTTATTCCTGTTCTGGAGTACAACAATGAGAAGGCTAATGGGGGGGACTTAATTTTTTTCTGACCACTTCATCGATCAATTGATTTTCCATATAGGATGGATGCTGGGTGGCTGAGAAAGTGATCCAAGTTCCAAACAAGAAAGTATCAGGATGGATTTACCCTGAAATGTCGGGTTAGTAACAAAAAAACCCAACAAATTGCATAGCCATGTATACATAAATATGTGAAAGGAAGAGGGAGTAAGCTTGTTTTCTGATGCCCTGGAAACAAAGACTCGGAGCAATAGGTTGGATTGTGTCTTCTAGCCTGGCAGAAGGGCTTTGAACTGGATGGCCATTGGAGACTCAAGTAATTTGATGATCTTGCTCCTCCTCCAGGGTTCACTTATGATATCATCATCTCCCTGGATGACCGGTTCCTCTATGCAAGCAACTGGGTGCATGGTGATGTCCGCCAATACGATATCACAGACCCGCATTGTCCCAAACTGGTTGGGCAGGTAAGCTTGCAAGTTGCAACCTTCCCTAATCAGATGTTTCCAGGAGATGGATCCCATCTCCTCTGGCTGCTGGCTGAGGATGATGGAACTAGTCTCCCATCCCAGGGACTCCAATTTCTTGAAGACTGCTATTTTTCCTTCTCAACTGACCACGTCTCTTTGGGATCTTTAGGTGTTTCTTGGGGGCAGCCTTGTGAAAGGGGGTCCTGTAACTGTACTTGAGGATCCAGAGCTGGATTGCCAACCTGATCCCTTTGTGATCCAGGTAAGGTTTGGAAAGGATGACAAACTGGGCAGATAATTCAGAGACAGATCAAAATGCAAATAAATCTGACGTTCCAATTCCAAACGAATGCTGGGCCCGCCTTTCTGTGCTTTCTACTCCTTTTGAAAGGTTTGCTTATCTTATTTACATGTTTCCTAATCCCAAGGCTATTTCTAATCCGCTCTCTTTAGGGCAAGAAGGTCCAAGGAGGGCCTCAAAAACTTCAGTTGAGCTTGGACAGCCGCCGTCTCTACGTCACCAGCTCTGCTTACACGCCTTGGGACAAGCAGTTTTATCCCAAGTTGGTCAAGTAAGTGTGGCCTTGGGGGAGTCACTCCCTCTCCAATTCAGAGGAAGGCCTCTTGTGTAGACATCCAGACTGGAAAACCTCATGATCAAGTGTCCATGTGTCTACACAACTTTGACTTCCCCTTGCATTATGTCTTTTCCAGGGAAGGTTCAGCAATGGTCCAGGTGGATGTGGACACCAAGAAGGGCGGCCTTCGTGTGAACCCGGAATTCCTGGTGGATTTTGGGCATGAACCGTGTGGTCCGGCTCGGGCGAGAGAGATGCGCTACCCTGGCGGAGATTGCACCTCCGACATCTGGGATTAGAGCGCATCAATTCCACGTCGTCTTCCTATCGGCAGGAAAATCACTCAAGAATTGAGATGCTGTCATGGCTCCTTGTTGTAAATGTCAACATGAGACATACAATTGTTGTAGCATCCTGTAACCATATTTTTCTCTGGGTGTCCTTGGGAATGCTGCCGGCCTGCTTCCTCCCTTCTACAGCTCTGAGAGGGCCAACCTCACAATGTTTCCATGGTAACCCTCTTGTGATGATACTCAAGCTCTCTCTCTGTGGCCCTTTCTTTCCTTTCTCCATTTCCCTCATAAGCATTCACCCTCTTTTCTTCATTTCATCCTTGCTTTTCCTCATAACCTTCCTTCTTCTTTCTTTCCTTTATCTTCCCTTCTTTTTCTGACTTCTCTTTCTTCTCCCTTCTTTCTTCCCTTCTTTCCATTTCTCTCTCAATTCATACCTTTTCCTCTTTTCTTTCTCGTCTTTCCTTCATTCCTTTTCTTTTCTTCCCTTTGCCTTTGGTCTCCTTTCTTTCCCTTCATTTTCTCCTTCATTCCTTCCCTCATTTTTGTCTTCCTTTCGCCTCCTTTCCTTCACTTCTTTTTCTCTTCCTTACCTTCTTATCAACAAGGTCTTTTATAAGGACAGTCTCTGTAGAGATCATTAATTCTGATGAAGAATATTACAAATAGGCTAATCTTGTTAACAAATAAAGTTGTTTGAATGATAATAAAACTTTTTTTTTAAAGCCGGAAGACCTAACGCTGTTCTCAGCTATGGAAAGCCTCACTCTTTTTAATTAAAGTTGGCTGAATAGAATAAAAATAATCCATGCTACCGTGTCTCAAAGGGAATGGGATTTATCACCAAAGTGGGGTTTGTTGGAGCATGCAATTAACCAGTTAATGTGTGTATGTGTCAACTGTAAAATAAGATGCATGAAGCTGGTTGGTTGGGAGATGGCTGAGCCTGGGACTTTCGGATACTATTACATTTTTGTTCAGGCTTGAGTTATGCACGTGCAGAGAGAGAAAAAGAGAGAAGCTTGGAGAGACAGAGTTTCGAGCGTCTTTTGGCTTCATAAGCTGCTGAAGGAGTTTATCCACATGGACAAAGAAAGACCATTTTAAATCTCTCATAAAAGGACATTATGTGAATTGATGCAACTGATCATATTGTGCATATGTTGTTCTGAACTACGAAGAGTAAACTACTTGTTCTTTATTGTTCTCCTGCGTGGTATACTTTCTTTATCTGGCAAGGCAGATCAAACGTGAATATATCACCTGCGTGGTATATTTTCTTTATCTGGCAAGGCAGAACAAATGTGAATATATCACCTGCTTGGTATATTTTCTTTATCTGGCAAGGCAGATAAAACATGAATATATCATCTGCGTAGTATATTTTCTTTATCTGGCAAGGCAGAACAAACATGTTTGTTTTACATTACACCACGCGGTTCTTGTCCGAAGCTTCAAGGAACGGGCATCCAAGGGAATGAACCAATCTCCCCAAAGATCTTTGCCACCTTGGGTTGCTTGTTCAAAGTGGCGTTACCAAAATATCACAAATATACTCATTGCTAACCAAGACCACTAAAAAATTAAAAGCAGTAGAGACAAGAATAGTCTTGCTAAGATAGCCTTGGGTTGCTTGTTCAAAGTGACATTACCAAAACATCACAAATATACTCATTGCTAACCAAGACCACTAAAAAACAAAGAGCAGTGGAGACAAGAATAGTTTTGCTGAGATAGTCTTTCCACCCTGAGTCTCCTTTGGCAGGGAAAAAGCAAGGTATAAATACATACAATCGTCACCATGTTTGTATACTCATAACAACTACAACACACCTTGAATTGGGACTGGAAAATAAACAGCAGCCAGTGGAGCTCCTTAAACAGGGGGGTTGACCGCTTCCTGTAAGTTGCCCCAGTTATTAATCTGGCTGCTGAACGTTGTACGAGTTGTAGTTTCCGGGCCGTCTTCAAGGGTAGCCCCACGTAGAGTGCATTACAGTAGTCCAGTCTAGAGGTAACTAAGGCATGGACTACCATGGTCAAGTCAAACTTCAGGAGGTAAGGTCGCAGTTGGCGCACAAGTTTTAATTGTGTGAAGGTCCTCCCGACCACCGCCTACACCTGCACATCAAGTGTCATTGCTGAGTCCAGAAGGACCCCCAAACTGCGGACCTGTGATTTCAGGGGAAGTGCGACCCCATCCAGCACAGGTTGCCACCCAATACCCTGGTCAGCCAAGCGACTGACCTGGAGGACCTCTGTCTTATCCTCAGCTTGTTCTTCCTCATCCAGGTCATCACAGCCGCCAGGTACTGGTCCAATATCCTAGGGGCTTCTTGGAGTCAGGTGGAAAAGAGTAGTGGAGTTGGGTGTCACCTGCGTAGAAATGGCACCGCACTCCAAAACTCCGGATGACTTCTCCCAGCGGTTTCATGTAGATGTTAAATAGCATGGGGGACAGAATAGAACCTTGCGGGACCCCACAGGTCAATGGCCAGGGGTCCGAGCAGGAGTCCCCCAGCTTCACCAGCTGGGAGCGACCCTCCAGGAAGGACCGGAGCCACAGTAGAACCGTACCCTCGAGTCCCATCCCAGCGAGCCTCCCCAGAAGGATATCATGGTTGACAGTATCAAAAGCCGCTGAGATATCCAAGAGAACCAGCAACGTCACACTCTCCCTATCCAGTTCCCTGTGGAGGTCATCCACTAAGGCGACCAAAGCGTGTGTGTGTATGTGTGTGTGTGTGTATGTGTGTGTGTGTGTGTGTGTATGTATATATCTTGTAAGCCGCTCTGAGTCTCCTTTGGAATGAGAAGGGTGGCATATAAATGTCGTAAATAAATAATAAAAATATATACACCAACCTAATGGGAGAAAAACACAAGGAGTTCATCGGAAGAGGGAAGGTGATGTTTACGCTCTCTGTAATTAATTGAATCAAACAAATTGGCACCACAATGAAAAAGGCCACACCTGATATTGTTCCCTGATTTGTTTTCTGGAGTCAGCCCTTTCCTTAATTAGCTTTCTTCCTCCAGCATTTTGATGCATGATACATAAAGATGGACAGATATCCTCCACATATATATAAGTTCCTTTTGGGAGTGGAGAGGCACTTCTTGTTGTCAGATACATTGAGGCTGCAAAGGAGATGTCTCATATGCAGACCAAAGCATTGGATGGAAAACATCCAACCCAGAAGAACCCGAATAAAGGTAAGACGTCCGGCCATCTCAATTCGGGACATTTATTGTAATTTAGGGATTCATCCCTGAGTTTATTACATCCTCAAACTCAAGATTGTGTCTATGTCTGGATCCAAAGAGTCTCCAGTCCTGGCTCTTGCTTCACTTCTTATCTTCATTGTTAGATGACTGTTTTTCTTATATGGTTCATTGACTTATTGCTTAATACAGAGTTTGCTTCCAGGATTTTCAAAACATTATCATCTATTTATTACTTCATTCAGTGGATCGCTGGCATTGGCTGGAGTCTGGACTCCTTCCAGGAAAATTGGGATAGACTCCCAGACTATGAAGCATAAGAGAAATTCAGCCAAGATTTTATAAGGTTTCATTTATCCACATCTGACAAAATGTGTTCTCTCTGGACGTGTTCCAGGTCCTCCATCATGACTCTAATAAGCCAGGTGCTCCTTTGATCCAAGGATTTCATTTTGATGTGAACAAACTAGATCTTTATCTTTCATTTTTCCCCAAATGTATAGGGAGGTATGGCCCAAGCCATGGACACGGCTACGCTTCGCCACTGGACGCCATGAAAGGTAAGTCGGGTCGATATTTTCTATCCAGAATCAGGTTCCAACTCCTCATATCCAACAAAATACATCCTTGTCTTAAAGATCCTGATACTAAGCTTTGTTTACACAGGCCCCAAAGAAAAACTGATGTATGTAGTGTGCGTTCTAAGTGGAACCAAGGCCCAGAAACCTGACTATTTGGCCACGGTGGACGTGGATCCGGAATCGCCAACTTATTGCAAGGTAAATCTTATTCCATAGCCTATATACTTGACACTACTTTCCCCCTTCTCTATCTTTGAGAAAGTCTACCTCACATTTTTTTGTCATGTCAGGAGTGTCTTGAGAAACTGCAAGTTGCTTCTGGTGTGAGAAAATTGGCCGTCTGCAAGGACGTTGCCCAGGGGATGCCTGAATGTTTTTGATGTGTTCCCATCCTTGTGGGAGGCTTCTCTCATGTCCCCGCACGGGGAGCTGGAGCTGATAGAGGGAGCTCATCCACATTCTCCCCAGATTAGAACCTGCAACCTGTCAGTCTTCAGTGCTGCCGGCACAAGGATTTCACCCATTGCTCCCCGGGGGCTCTGACCTCAGAATGCCTGCATGGCATGAATCTAGCAACTATCCTTCTTTACTTCCTTCTCTCCCTTCAAACCTTCCCTCCTTTCCTTTCCCCTTCCTTCCTTCCCTTTTCTTTTCCTTCTCCCTCCATTATTTCAGGTTGGAAAGGTTTGGTACAGATCCATGGAGCCACAGAGGAGCCTTTGTGGCACAATCATACTGACAGAATACATACATACTTACTTACTTACTTACTTGGGGAATCCCTCATAGTCCAAGGATGATGGTCCTCCAAGTGTAGTATCCTGGGAGTGGGTCCGTAGGTGACGGTGGAGTCCTATTCTTGATCTGCATCTTCTCCCACAGTGAGGGCATCGGTTTCCAGCTGGAAGGCGGTCCCAGTCAGGGTTGGCTTGACGTGCCTTGACGCGCCTTCCTCTTGGCACATTTCTCTCGCCCTCCATTCGTGCCTCTTCAAATTCTGCAGCACAGTTGGTCACAGCTGATCTCCAACAGGAGCGCTCAAGGGCCAGGGCTTCCCAGTTCTCAGTGACTATGCCAGAGTTTTTAAGGTTGGCTTTGAGCCCATCTTTAAATCTCTTTTCCTGTCCACCAACATTCTCGTTTTCCGTTCTTGAGTTCGGAGTAGAGCAACTGCTTTGGGAGACGGTGGTCGGGCATCCGGACAAGTGGCCGGTCCAGCGGAGTTGATGGCGGAGGACCATCGCTTCAATGCTGGTGGTCTTTGCTTCTTCCAGCATGCTGACATTTGCTGCTTGTCTTCCCAAGAGATTTGCAGGATTTTCCGGAGGCAGCACTGATGGAATTGTTCCAGGAGTTGCATGTGACGTCTGTAGACAGTCCACGTTTCGCAGGCGTAGAGCAGGGTTGGAGGGACAATAGTTCTATAAACAAGCACCTTGGTATCCCTACGGATGTCCTCAAACACTCTCTGCTTCATTCGGAAAATGCTGCACTCGCAGAGCTCAGGCAGTGTTGAATTTCAGTGTCAATGTTGACTTTTGTGGAGAGGTGACTGCCAAGGTAGCGAAAATGGTCAACATACCTATATACTTTGAAGGATTATCTTTCATGCACTCCATCTAAGTTTTCCTTTTAATTTCTTTCAGAGGACTGGCGTTGCCACAAAGGCCAAAATTGATGCCTAGATCACATGGAAGGCAAGGCTTGAGAGTTAGGAGAATCAACCAGGCAGGGTGGAAACCATGTTCTCTGGTCTTGTGATGCTCTCAAAGCTCGGTTGGGCACAATACTCCCTGCAAAACCAGGGCAGTGGTGGTTTGGATGGTACGAAGCCATTTAATCCATTTCTGGGCATAAGAGTCCTGCCTGGCTGCTCTTCCCTCCCTTTGAAGGCATCGGAGACACAGTTGGCATGGACAAAAACTTGTCATCCGACCTGCTCTTCTCTCCTTCTGAAGCCAGGTCGGTGGCAGTTGGGATGGAGAAAAAGCATTTTATCCTGGCTGTTCTGCATTTTCTCAAAGGCCAGCCAATGATAGTTTGGATGGAACAAGGACACTTCATCACAGCTGCACATCTTCCCCTCCAAGGCCAGGCAGTGACAGTTGGGACGGTGCAAATAATATTTCATACCTGTCCATATATTAAGCAGGTTGGATTTCCGAGTTCATGTACAGTCCTTCGCTAACCTTTCCCATATTATTTTCAAAGCTCTTTCCTCCTCGTCTTCCCAATAGGTCATCCACCGTCTGCCCATGACTTACCTGGATGACGAACTCCATCATTCGGGCTGGGGCGCCCCCGTCAGCTCCTTTGGGGACACCGGAATTGAGCGCAACTGCCTCGTCCTCACAGGCATGCTCTCCGGCCGTGTTTATGTGGTGGACACGGGCTCCGATCTGCGTGCTCCCAGCTTGCACAAAGTACGTAAAAAATTCGCACAGAGATAAGGTCAGGATGCATCTACACTATGGAATGTATGCAGTTTGATGCCACTTTGTGTGTTATAGCTAAATGCTATGGTGTCCTGGGAGTTGTCTTTTGCTGTAGCAATGGCACACTTGTGCACAGAAGGTATAAGCCTTGCAAAAGTTTGAGTCCGCTTTGAGTCTCCCCAGGGGTGAGAAAGGCGGTATATAAATACTGTAAATAAATAAAATAATAAAACTGCATTCCACAGCATTCAGCTAAGGCAATCGGAATGGTATCAGACTGCATTAATGCTAAAATATAGATGATGTATCTAGATCAGGGGTCCACAAACTTTTAAAACAGAGGGCCAGGTCACAGTCCCTCAAACTGTTGGAGGGCCGAATTATAATTTGAAAAAACCATGAATGAATTCCTAGGCACACTGCACATATCTTATTTGTAGTGCAAAAACACTTAAAAACAATACAATAATTAAAATGAATAACAATTTTAAGAAATGTAATTTAACTGATTTACGAGGCCATAAAAATCTCCAGGAAGTATGCAAAGAATGAGGAAGTACTTCACCAGTGTCACAAATGGATGGTGAAGCGACAGTTCCCCTGGTGGCCATAATCTGGAATGTTAAATAGCCTCTGAGTGTCTGTCTATATATGTTATGTCTCTATGACATTGAATGTTTGTCATGTATATGTACATTGTAATCCGCCCTGAGTCCCCTGCGGGGTGGAGAAGGATGGAATATACTGTAAATAATAAATAAATAAATAATAAACTTATTAGTATTTCAATGGGAAATGTGGGCCTACTTTTGGCTGATGAGATAGGATTGTTGTTGTTGTTGTTATGTGCTTTCAAGTAGTTTTAGACTTAGGTTGACCCTGAGCGGGGGCCAGGTAAATGACCTTGGAGGGCCGTATCTGGCCCCTGGGCCTTAGTTTGAGGACCTCTGACCATAGATCATAAGGAAAAGGGACTTACATAGGACAGAATGCTGAAATGATCTGTTTTCTCTCTCTCTCGCTGACACCTCAACAGATCATCGAACCTCGAGAAATCATCAAGAAAACCAACTTGGGTTTGTTGTACAGCCCGCGTTGCTTAAGCAGCAGGGAGTTTTTGATCAGCGCTGTTGGAGACGCATTAGCAAATGGAAGAGGTACTTTGGGCATAGATGCCCATTTGGGAAAACAATTAGCCCTCCACAATAAGGGAAAACCACACAAAGGAGCCCTAAACCTGCCATGTTGTAATAGGTTGCCTTAAATCCCATTCACTGGGGTGAAAGCAGGACAGAAATAATAAATATTGTTCTTTGAAAACTAATTGCCTTTTGACCCAAGTGGCTCCTGTGTTTTTGGTCCCAGGTGGCCTTCTCGTTCTGGACCCGGAAACCTGGGAAGTGAAAGGGAACTGGGTGTGTCCGGAAGATGGACCCATCGGGATATTTGACTTCTGGTACCAGCCGCGGCACAACGTCCTGATCAGCATCGAAGCAGCGCAGCCCAAGTTCATTATCACTGGGTTCAGCCCAGACAATCTGGGAAAAGGTAGGAGCCCCCATGTGAAAGGGATCGAGGAGTCCAAGTAGACCACAAGCTGAACACAAGCCAAGAGTGTGATGTGACAGCGCAAAAAGCCAATATGAATCCACTAACAGGCGGATACTGTCAAAATCACAAAAGGCCTTAGTCTTACGTGATCCTGCTTTTGTCAGATCTCAATTGGAATAATCCTGGTTCCTGTTCATCCACAGGGCGCTATGGCAGTCAACTCAATGTCTGGGATTTGACCACTCACTGCCTCCTCCAATCGATTGAACTGGGTGAAGATGCGGCCCCAATTGAGATCCGCTTCTTGCATAACCCCAACTCCGACCATGGTTACGTGGCCTGCGCTCTGGAGAGCTCCATCCATCATTTCTTCAAGAAAGAGGTGAGAAGGGGGAAAGGGTGGCCAGGAGGCAAGTCAACTACTTGTGGGAAGCTAGGATGGTTAGGTGCTTGGAGACCCGGTTCAGATCCCTCCTCCCAATGTGGGAACATACGCTCTCTCCCTTAGGTATGGGAGAAAACAAAAGCAAACGTTTCCAAGAAAAATCACGGAGAGGACTTACCATATATTCTGGTGTATACTATTTAACCCAAGAAAATCTTCTGAAAAGTCAGGGGTTGTCTTATACGCGGGAGTAGTCTTATACACGGGAGTCATCTTACACACTGGAGTAGCCTCATGCATGGTATTCCCTGTAGTAACCTACGGATGTGAGAGCTGGACCTTAGGGAAGGTTGAGCGAAGGAAGAGAGATGCTTTTGAGCTGTGGTGTTGGAGGAAAGTTCTGAGAGTGCCTTGGACTGCGAGAAGATCCAACCAGTCCATCCTCCAGGAAATAAAGCCCGGCTGCTCACTGGAGGGAAGGAGACTAGAGACAAAGTTGAAGTACTTTGGCCACATCATGAGGAGACAGCAAAGCCTAGAGAAGACAATTATGCTGGGGAAGGTGGAAGGTAAAAGGAAGAGGGGCCGACCAAGGGCAAGATGGATGGATGGCATCCTTGAAGTGACTGGATTGACCTTGACGGAGTTGAGGGTGGTAACGGCTGACGTGGGCTCTGGCGTGGGCTGGTCCATGAGCTCACAAAGAGTTATGCATGGGAGTCGTCTTATATGCGGGTGTAGTCTTATATGCCAGGAGTTGTCTTATAGAGCGGGTGCTGAAACTTCCAATCTGGATTGGAGAATTTGTGTTGCTGCATATTGTGGAGGGAGCTCAAAAATGGCAGTGGCCGCGTCCCTGCCGTATGCAGCGACTGTATGAAAGCATTAAGGGCGACGCTGTACAAGTACGGTAGAAGAAAATCCATTCATCAGGATTTGTGGACTTAATGTGGTCTCGATAGTGAGGTGAAGGGGCACCTCACCAGGAAGGTGTAAGTGAAGGGCAGAGCAAGCTGCAGGCGTCTGGGGTGTCCAAGGTATGGAAAAAAGAGATAGAGTGGCTCTGGGCTCAGAAAAACACAACTCTTTTACCTGTCTGGCCCGCCCTTGTATCCTATTACCGTACCTCCTCCTCTGCCTCTCAGATCTCGCTCCTGAAGACTGCAGTGAAGTGGTGCAGGTGCGCATGTGCGAGATCTGAGAGGCAGAGAAGGAGGTACAGTAATAGGAAAATCACCATATTGAAATCAAATCTGATGCTTTTTAAATTTTTATTTGTTGGAAGAGGGGTAGTCTTATATGGCAAGTATATCCAAACTCTATATTTTAACTGGAAAAGTTGGGGGTCATCTTATACGCCCAGTCGTCTTATATGCCGGAATATACGGTATTTTTTTCTGACCACTTCACTGATCAACTTGATTTCCCATATAGGATGGATGCTGGGCGGCTGAGAAAGTGATCCAAATCCCAAACAAGAAAGTCACAGGATGGTGCTACCCCGAAATGCCAGGTTAGTAAAAACAAGCAAACAAACAAACAACAACAAATTGGCTATGTATACTTAAATATGTAAAAGGAAGACGGAATAAGCATGATTTATGATGCCCTGGAAACTGGGTTGGACTGTGTCTTCTAGCCTGGCAGAAGGGTTTTGAACGGGATGGCCCTTGGGGGCTACAGTGATCTGATTATCTTGCTCCTTCAACAGCGTTCCTTTTCGATATCGTCATTTCCATGGATGACCGGTTCCTCTACTGCAGCAACTGGTTGCATGGTGATGTCCGCCAATACGATATCACAGACCCGCATTGTCCCAAACTGGTTGGACAGGTAAGCTTCCAACCTACCCTAATCAGATATTTCCAGGTGATGGATCCTATCACCTCTGGCTGCTATCTGGGGATGATGGAAATGGTGTCCCATCCCAGGGACTCCAATTTCTTGAACACCGTTATTTTTCCTTCTCAACTGATCACATCTCTTTGGGATCTTTAGGTGTTTCTGGGGGGCAGCCTTGTGAAAGGGGGTCCTGTAACTGTCCTTGAGGATCCAGAGCTGGACTGCCAACCTGATCTCTTTGTGATCCAGGTAAGGTCTAAAATGGACAAAAAACTGGGCAGGTAATTCAGAGACAGGTCAAAATGCAAAGGCATTCCAATTCTCAACTGAGAGAGAATGGGCCTTTCTGTGTTTTCTACTCTTTTTAACAGGTTTCCTTACCTTATTTACATGTTTCTTAATCCCAGGGCTATTTCTTTCCCGCTCTTTTTAGGGCAAGATAGTCCAAGGAGGGCCTCAAATGCTTCAGCTGAGCTTGGACGGCCGCCGTCTCTATGTCAACTACTCTCTTTACACGCCTTGGGACTACCAGTTTTATCCCAAATTGATCGAGTAAGTGTGGCCTTGGGGGAGTCACACTCTCTCCAACTCAGAGGAAGGCCTCTTGTCTAGACATCTAGCTTGCAAAACCTCATGATCAGGTGTCCATGTGTCTCCACAACCTTGACTTTCCTCCACATTATGCTTTTTCCAGGCAAGGCTCAGCAATGGTCCAGCTGGACGTGGACACCGAGAAGGGCGGCCTTTGCGTGAACCCGGAATTCCTGGTGGATTTCGGGCATGAACCGTTTGGTCCGGCTCGGGCGAAAGAGATGCGCTACCCCGGTGGGGATTGCACCTCCGACATCTGGGAGTAGCATGCATCCATTCCAAGTCGTCTTCATATCGGAAGGAGAATCACTTAAGAATTGGAACTTTTGTCCAACGCTTGCTGTTGTTACTCCTTGTTGTAAATGTCAACATGAGTAGCGTATATGTACATTTTTCTCTGGGTGTCCTTGGGACTGCATCCTGCCTGCTTCCTCCCTTCTCCAGCTCTGAAAGGGCCTAAATCACAATGTCTCCATGGCAACTCTCTTGTGATGGTAGGCATGCTCTCTCTGTGGCTTCTTCTTTCCTTTCTCCCTTTACCTCATAAGCATTCATGCTCTTTTCTTCCTTTCCTCCTTGCTTTTCCTCATAATTTTCCTTCTTCTTTCTTTCCTTTATCTTCCCTTCTTTTTCTCTCACCTCTCTTCCTTCTCCCTTCTTTCTTCCCTTGCTCGCTCTTCTCTTCTTTCCATTTCTCTCACCAATCGTACCTTTTCCCCTTTCCTTTCTCTTCTTTCCTTCATTCCTTTTTCATTCTCCCCCTTTCCTTCAGTCCCCTTTCTTTTCCTTCATTTTCTGCTCCCTTCCTCCTTATTTCCTTCTCTTCTTTTTCTCTTTCTTGCCTTCCTATCAACAGCTTGGTGTGCAAGGCCTTTTAGAAGGAGAGTCTAAAAAAATATTACAAATAGGCTGATCCTGTTAACAAATAAAGTTGTTTGAATGATGACTTTTCCTTGAACTATTAGAAAGCTGGGAGACTTAACCGTGGAAAGCGTCACTCTTCTATATAAATAAAAATGTAATGTTCGTTTGTGGGATTAACAGAAATCAAAATCCAGTGGGCCAATTGACACCAAATTTGGACAGCATACACCTAACAACCCAATGTATGTCCTTCACTCAATTTTTTTTTGATTTTGTCATTTGGGAGTTATAGTTGCCTGGATTTGTAGTTCACCTACAATCAAAGAGCGTTCTGAACTCCACTAATGATGGAATTGAACCAAACTTGGCACATAGGACTCCCATGACCAACAGAAAACACTAGAACGGTTTGGTGGGCATTGACCTTGAATTTGGGAGTTGTAGTTCTCCTACATCCAGAGAGCACTGTGCACTCAAACAATGATGGATCTGGACCAAACTTGGCACAAATATTCCATATGCCAAAATATGAACACAGATGGAGTTTGGGCGAAATACACCTTGACATTTGTAGTTACTGAGATTTATAGTTCACCTACAATCAAAGAGCATTCTGAATCCCACAAACGACAGAATTGGGGCAAATTTCCCACACAGAACCCCCATGACCAACAGAAAATACTTCAGGCCATCCAGTCCAACTCTCTTCACCAGGGCAGAAGTTTGTCAGAACCCTCCGGACAAAGAGCCATCCAGTCATAAAGATAGATAGATAGGTAGATAGATAGATATGATTCACACACACACACAGAGATATAGTCTCACAGATTTGAGAGGGACCCCTAAAGAAGGACAATTATATGTTGCATATTCCAGAGTAGGCAAACCAGACACTCCCCACATCAACACTGACAAAGAAACAACAAGAAATACTGTTTACCCACAAGCATAAAGAAATTACATATATTGGAAACCAACATTTTCTCATTACTTTATTTTCCAGATCACCAGACTGGGCCACAGCAACACGTGGCAGGGGATGACTAGTTTTAACTAAAGTTGGATGAATAGAATAAAAATAATCTAGGAGCCACCAGTGATGCAATGGGTTAAAGCACTGAGCTGCTGAACTTGCTGACTGAAAGATTGCAAATTTGAATCCAGAGAGCAGAGTGAGCTCCCGCTGTTAGCCCCAACTGGAGGTGAGCGCCAACCCCTACAATTGCACACAACTAGACTTAATGTAGGGGAAAACCTTTACCTTTAACTTTTATGCGCACATGCCTCAAACATTTAAAGGTAAATGAAATGCAATGGAAAATACAGACAAAATGGTATAGAAGTCCTGTGCAATTAGCTCACATAACTAGAACTTCCCCAAAACAATGTTGGCACAACCACGGGAAAACTGGAACGCCTCAGTGGGAGAAAGGCCTCACCCACATGTGGTGGGATTGTGAAAAAAAGAAAAAAGATCCATAAAATAATTAAGAACAAAATGGAAGAGTTGAGAGCAGAGTAACTGCTTTGGGAGATGGTGATCGGGCATTCAGACAACATGGCCAGTCCAGAGGAGCATCGCTTCAATGCTGGTGGTCTTTGCTTCTTCCACATTGATCTGCCTGTCTTTCCACTGAGGCCTTTCTCCTACAGTGAGGCCTACTACCACTGAGACATTCTCTCACAGTGAGGCCTTTCTCCCACTGAGGCATTCTCTCACAGTGAGGCCTTTCTCCCACTGAGGCATTCTCTCACAGTGAGGCATTTCTCCCACTGAGGCATTCTCTCACAGTGAGGCATTTCTCCCACTGAGGCGTTCTCTCAAAGTGAGGCCTTTCTCCCACTGAGGTGTTCTCTCACAGTGAGGCCTTTCTCCCACTGAAGTGCTCTCTCACAGTGAGGCCTTTCTCCCACTGAGGCGTTCTCTCATAGTGAGGCCTTTCTCCCACTGAGGTGTTCTCTCACAGTGAGGCATTTCTCCCACTGAGGTGTTCTCTCACAGTGAGGCCTTTCTCCCACTGAGGCATTCTCTCACAGTGAGGCATTTCTCCCACTGAGGTGCTCTCTCACAGTGAGGCCTTTCTCCCACTGAGGTGTTCTCTCACAGTGAGGCCTTTCTCCCACTGAGGTGTTCTCTCACAGTGAGGCCTTTCTTCTACTGAGGTGTTCTCTCACAGTGAGGCCTTTCTCCCACTGAGGCATTATCCCACAGTGAGGCATTTCTCCCACTGAGGTGCTCTCTCACAGTGAGGSSTTTCTCCCACTGAGGCATTCTCTCACAGTGAGGCATTTCTCCCACTGAGGTGTTCTCTCACAGTGAGGCCTTTCTCCCACTTTCTCTCTCACACTGCTCTCAGACTGAGAGCTCTCTCAGACTAAGGTGTTACRAAGCAACAGGCACACTTGCTTATACTGAACTACAGCTTTTGCTGAGTCATTGCATCCATTTAACCCTTTAGGTGATGGACTCACATTTTTGTAATTAAAAATACCTAGTTAATTTTTAATATTTCTGCCATCTTTGACATGTCTTCCTAAAAAAGTCCATGGTTCCGCTTCTGAACCCATCCGTCTCCAAGTGCCTGAGTGAGTGGGGAAACCTGGGTCTCCTAAAAAGCCCTTTCTGGCTCCCTCAGAAAAGTGCAAAAGCACTGAGGCAGCACGGGGCGTTTGTCTGTCAGAAGGGGAAAGGGTTGAGCCGTTGCTGAAGAGGCAGGAACGGAGCCTCCTGTGGGTGTAGGAAACCTGCCGATTCCTCCTTTTGTTGAGGTTTTGCGGCCACTGATAGTGGCGCCTGACTATCAAGGCAAGCTGAGCCATGCTTTAATTCCATCTGTGTTTGATCTTGCATTAATTTGTTCCTTTTTGACATTTGCAAGCTCCCCAGTATCTTGGTTTTTGGAAAGGGATGAGATGTGAGGTATCCACAACATTGTGGAAAAGTAGAGGAGGAAGAACAGGGAGGAAGAAAAAGTCATCGCCTCTTTTATATTACTATTGTTATATGAAAGCCACGTGGCTTTCGTCCCTTTCCTTCCTTTATTCCCTCATCCCTCCTTCACTTTTCTGTTCCTTTCTTTTTGTTCTTTTTCTTTCCTTCCTTTTCTTTCCCTTCTTTGTCTCCTTCCTCCCTCCTTCCCTTTCCCCCCACATGCCTTCTGTATCCTTTATTTCTTTATCTCTTTCTTTTCTCTCTTTATCCTGTGTTTCCTTCTATTTTTCACCTCATATATGTCACTATTCTTTCATATTCCTCCCTCCTTTTTCTTTTTTAACTCCTCTCTCTCCATCTTTCTTTCCTGCCATCCTTCATCCTTTCTTTCTCTATCCCTCTTCTTCCTTATCCTTATCCCTTCTTTTTCTCCTTCCTTCCTTCCTCCCTTCCTTTCCTTCCTCCCTTCCCATCCTTTCTCTTTTTTCTTTCCCCCCTTTTTCATTCTCCTGCCTTCATTCCTTCTCTTTCCATTGTTTTCCCTTATTTTTCTCCTTCCTTCCTTACCTTCCATCCCCTCATACACATCACCTCCTTTCCTTTCTCTTTCTTTCCTTTCTCTCCTTTCTCTTCGTTCTTTCCCTCCTTTTTCATCCTCCTACCTTCATTCCTCCTCTTTTCTTTCCTTTCCCTTATTTTTCTCCTTCCTTCCTTCCTTCCGTCCTCCCTCCCTTCCTTCCTTCCTCCCTCCCTTCCCTTCCCCTCCTAAACGTCTCCTTTCTTTCCTTTCTCTTCCTTCTTTCCCTTCTTTTTCATTCTCCTACCTTCATTCCTTCTCTTTTCTTTGCTTTCCCTTCTTTTTCTCCTTCCTTCCTTCTTTCCTTACCTTCCATCCCCTCATACACGTCACCTTTCTTTCCTTTCTCTTGGTTCTTTCCCTCCTTTTTCATCCTCCCTTCATTCCTCCTCTTTCCTTTCCTTTCCCTTATTTTTCTCCTCCCTCCCTTCCTTCCTCTCTTCCCTTCCCCTCATAAACTTCTCCTTTCTTTCCTTTCTCTTCCTTCTTTCCCTCCTTTTTCATTCTCCTAATTTCATTCTTTCTCTTTTCTTTGCTTTCCCTCCCTTTTCTCCTCCCTTCCTTCTTTCATTCCTTCCCATCCCCTCATACACATCACCTTTCTTTCCTTTCTCTTCCATCTTTCACTTCTTTTTCATCCTCCTAAATATTAAGACTAATGAAATAAGACTGTATTTGCCTCAAAGGAAGAGCTTCAACTGGAGAGAAAACCAAGACCCCGAGTGATGTAAGGGACTCAATATTTCAGGGGGCAAACTACTGTGGCATATTGCAGAGGATAACTTTGAGACTACTGCTCCAGTATTACAAATGAGTGCCAAGATGAAAGTTG